CGATCTATCCTGCTCAATGATCCCTTGTACTTTAGCTTCTGTGCAAAGTTTTCTCTAATTATTATGTAATAATATTACATAATAATCTGCTAATTATTATGTAATCTCTATGTTTGCAAAAAATAAAGATTTAGGTAATCTCAAATAATGGAACATTTACTGTCATATACAGTCATTCTTTGGTATTCCAGAACTCACTACAGATACCAAAATCTATGCATGTTCAAGTCCCTTATAAAAAATTGTGCAGTATTTGTATATAACCTATACACATCCTTCCATAAAATTTAAGTCATCTCCAGATTACTTAGAATACTCTGCAAATGTAAATGCTAAGTAAATAGTTTTTATAATATTATATAGGGACTAATGACAAAACAAAATTCTGTACACATTCAGCACAGACCTAATTTTTCTCCAAATATTTTCCATCCAGAGTTGGTTGAATCTGAGGATGCAGAGCCCATTCAGAGAATATGGAGGGCTGACTATAATACATTTTTTAAAGGTAGGGGTAGATTTTCATCAAATGTCAAATGTAGCAGATGTCATTTTCCAAAAATTAGTTAACAATATTGCTGGGCAGATATTGTCTTTCAGAACTTTTGTCACTTCATTAGGGGGTGTGTTTTACATCCTCTCACTTGGAAAGACCTGTTTAACTGCCTCTGCTGATAGAGTATGAATGGCAAAATACTCCAACTTGTGAGACTAGGTCATAAAAAGTGAGTTTTCATCACCATTGAAACTCAGCTATCATGATCCCAGCTAACAGCCAGCACAAACTTGCAAGCCCTGTGAAGGCACCACCTTGGATGCAAACCCTCCAGCTCTCAGCAATCACCACAGCTTATGCCAAGGAGAGAATAGGTGAGCCTTCTCCAGGAAGCTCTATACAAATCTTGTAATAGTCAATTATCAGGGTTTGTTTTAAGCTGCAAAGTTTTGAAGACTACAAGCAATAGGCAACCAGTAAAGACCCAATATGGTCCAGGTGACTAGTTTATCTTTGTATGCTTGAGTACCAGTGAGGATCCAATCATGAGATAGATAAAATAATTTAAACAGGGAAAGTTCAAAGAGTTATCCATTGTAATGGAATTAGACTAAAAGGATTAACAACTAAGAGGTAACTAGGGAAGACAACTTTTAGGAATTGTGAATATAGGAAATCGATAATTCCCAGGGAAAGGGGAGGGAGGGAGTGAGAAAGGGAGGGAGGGAGGAAGGGAGGGAGGGAGGGAGGGAGGGAGAGAGAGAGAGAGAGAGAGAGAGAGAGAGAGAGAGAGAGAGAGAGAGAGAGAAATATGTACAGCCGTGGCCTGCTGGATTGTGGGAAGTTTATTTCTGGGATGCCACACCGCCAAGATTAGCTAGAAATCTGGCTTCTGGAGAGCAAGGACTGTCTTTTCACAGGAGTTGGATAAAGAAAAGCATCTGAGAAAAATGAGTCAAACCAATAGCTGTTTCTTCAAAATTAATAAGTAGAATTAATAACTTTCTATGAAGACTGGTCAAAAAATACATGGCAAAGCCACAATTTACCAATATTAGGAATGAAACGGGGGATATTACCATAGATTCTCAGGATGTTACAAGGATAGAGAACATTACAAAAAAAAATCACATCATTCCATAATTTATATGGAATAATGCCTCCTTACAAGCTATGAAAATTTACTGAATAGATAATCTGAATAGTCCTGCATGTATTGAAGAAATTGGACTTGTATTTAAAGTTTCCTATTAAGAAAACTTCATGGTTTCACTGGCAATTCTCCCAACATGTAAGTTAGAAATAACACAATTCTGCACATTCTTTTCCAGAAAATTCAAGTATTCATTCCTCTTCTCACTCCATTTTATGAAGTTGTATTTATCCTGATATCAAAACTAGACAAAAAACATTACAAGACTGCAGACCAATTTACATTCATGCAAAGTTTGTAGTTTATTCTAAAGTTAAATATAAACCAACCATATGACCCAGAATTCTACTCTTAGTATTTCCCCAAGAAAAGTGCAAACCTGTTTCACATACAAGACTGTACATGAATAGCAGCTTTGTAATTGCCCCAAACTGGAAAAAAACCTTGTTCAATATTGCCTGATGGATGGTAAGTTCCCTTTCCACAGAAAAGGAAACGAAAATCATGTGTAGATGGTTTTAATTATGACCTTTAATTTGCTTATGGCTTATTGTATGTATATCCCTTTGCTTTATAACATTGACACTTGTTGATTTGGAGTTTGGCCTGTGATTTGCTTTGGCCAACAAGAACAACAGCAAATATGACACTGCGTTATGTAAAAACGTTTGTGTATTGGGATTTTTGATGTAGTTGAGAACACTCTATCACCATGCAAAGAAGCCTATTATAGGTAATGGGAGAGAAAGAGATCCTTTAGCCAACATGGAGGCATCTCAGTTGAGTGGAATCTAGTTAAGTCTCAGCTGAGCTGACCCTTAATCCTCAGTCAATCTAGATTCTTTTTTGTTTTTAAATACTTTTTTTAGTTGTAGATGGACACAGTATCTTTATTTATTTTTATGTGGTGCTGAGGATTGAATCCAGGACCTCACACGTGAAACAGACGCTCTACCACTGAGCTACAGCCTCAGCCCAACTATAGATTCTTAATATGTTTGCCTTGTCAAGCGACTGCACTTTGAGGTGTTTGTTAAACAGCAAGTGCTAATAGACACAGTTAATATTAAGTTCATTTAAGTCTCTGATCCGGTGAACCCCAAAGCAAATTCCTTGGGTCTCCTTCCTTCCAAAGAAGTGGTTCCCAACCTTGGCTGCACAATAGAATTACCTGGGAAGCATTAAAAAATATCCATGCCTAGAACCTACCAGGATTATTTAGTCTGGGGTGCAGACTGGGCCCCTGAGATTTTTAAGACACACCAAGCAATTCTAATGAACACAATCTAATATTGTCCTACTCTGTAATGAATCTAGAATGAGTATAATCTTCACTTTTCTGCTAGGTCTTTCTAATGTATTTCCCTCTAAGAATAAGTAGCAACTATACCCTACATAAAGCTGATCCAAGATTTTCTATGAAATTCTGAGAAACTACAGCTTCACTAGTAGAGTCACCAATTAAGGTCCTTTTTAGATGTTACTGTTGATCTACTCTTCATGGTTCCAACAATAAAAAATCCAAAATGTGACCTTCAGAGTCACCAAAACTACCCTCACTTATTCACTGAATTGTTACAGTGGCAATGTTTTATCCCGAGTTTTATCACCAGCAATAATTTGAGAACTCAATAATTTGAAAATTTTTGGTATAGTTTATTTAGCAGAATTTGGTATCTGATAAAACTATTCTCATTTTTTTTCCTACATAAAATATATCAACTCTTTGAGAAAATGAGTCAGGCCTGTGTACATGTTCAACTTATCTATTATAATTCTGTGCCTGACTAGCAAAATGAGATTTTATAATTAAATGTAGTGATTAAAAAAAAAATGTTCAAAAGTAAAAATCCAAAACAAGCCAAACCACCAAAAGGCTCAGTTTAACAGGAACCTTAAAATCAAACTGAGTAATAATCCCTACCCTATGATTAACAATTTAAGGGAACAAAACTTCTTCCTTAAAAAGAATGAAATAAGAATAATTATTGAACTATTTATAGACTGTACTCAAACATATTAAGATTCATGACTACTCAGTGATGAGAAAAGACTGGGAATTCAAGTATGTATCAAAAGGAATGTTTTATTTGGCTGAATAACCTAACGATGTTTTATAAAAAAACACAATTCTGTTCAGATGCTCTGCATTTTCCTCCCTGTCAGAATGAACAATTAAATGTCTTCTTTTCTCTTCCCTTTCAGAAACCATTTAAATTCTCTCATTATTTTGAAATTGCTCTGACTTTTTATCCTCTCACTCTTTAAAACATATGCTATATTATTAAGTTTGAATTTTTATACCCAAAATGTTAAGTTTACTATTAACCGTATGCCTGGCCAAACACCTACTGCCATTTAGAAGGTACCATATTTATAATTTGCTCTAAGCAACTATTTTGGTTTTATTTCCACTTACTTATATATAGCACATTTAATTTTCCTGTTCAAGTGGTCAGTTAATAATTTATAAAACTTAGCCCAGATGAGATCCAAGATTATTAAGGCCTTGAAGGAATGTTTTATTTTAATTTTAAAAAGAATTAAGTCTTCCTTAAACTCTATAGCAGCATATCCACCCTTATAAAGCATTCCAAAAATCTGAAGGACAGACAGAAGAATTTTCTGCTGCTACAAATAGAAAAACCACTGTAGACCTCACGAACATTTCAAAAGCAATTATGAGCAATGAAAACTTGGAACTGCCTTTTCATGGAGTTGTCCTCTTAAAAAGAGTTAAAGCCACATTTTCATACATTTTTTTCCAGAGAGCAGTTTACTTGAGGTACATAAAGTGAAACAAATCAGTTCTATGCAAAATAATAAAAATATTTTGTGCTTTTATTTATAAATTAATTCCATAAACAAATTACTAAGCATGACAAACAACAAAGCTCTTGGCTTCCATCCTTTATAGCTAGAAAATAAATAATTTTAGTAGCTATCTAAATTTGCCTCCTGCTTTCACAGAAATAAATGTATTATTACATATCCTTATTTTCAAATTGTCACTAACCTGTGACATGGACTTAAGAGTAGATACCACTTTGTTTTTACACAGAATTGTAAAGTCTTTTAAAAAGAAACTAACTAACTTAGAGTAACTTTCTATTAGTAGGAACTGAACTTCATAAAATATAAAATTGTTATAAATCCTATAATTCAGGTAATTTAATTAAGATTAATCTGTAGGAATACTGGTACAAATCTGCCATCCACAATTAGGTACAATAATTATGTACAGAGAAAAATTTTAGTATGGTCAGAAAAAGTTTTCATATTCTTGAAAAGCAGTTTCTCAGTATTCATTCTGTTTCTGTATACATCTCCATCCAAAAAGAAACAAGATCATCATTTGACTTTTTGTTTTTTTCTTGCTTGAAACTGTTCTGTTTTGTTTTTTACAGATTTAACCAGCATTGATAAGGCAGGATCAATAGACTTCTTTTGTGATGTCTTTTCAAACTCACTCTCTTTTCTCTTTATTAAAGCCTGAGTGAGTTCTTCTTTTTGTTCTCTTTGCCGGGCTTTCTCCTCAAGAATTTTTTCCATAGCTTTTGTTTTCTTGAAGTTAGGGTCTGAAGGATCCAAATTGAACAAATGGGAAGTATACATTGCCTGAAACCGTGCATCACTAACATTTACCTGCAAATTCAAAAGAAATAAATAAATAAGTAAAATAAAAATTAGTAAACAAAAGCCCAGACATGAGGCCAAATTTAGAAAGGTAGCATGTTGTTGGTCATATAAAATACACATCTGAGCATTTTGCACTGAGTTATTATAAGAATTTCAGTGAAGTTTTAAGGCCTACCTTTGGACCATAAGGTGAAGGGCTTGTCATTCTTATTGCATAAGGACAATCTACTTGAAAGGGAACTATAGTGGTCCATACACTGGCTTTAAACTACAATGACTACTTTGACTATAGGAATGATACCCCTTGTTTACAGCATGAAATAGATTTCTGTCCAGCATCAATTAGCCAATCAGGATGTCTCCTGCTGAGTTTTGTACAAAATTATTACACTCTGAGTACCTTTGAAGACATTTTTAACTTGGTGTCAAGATAAAGTAGCTACTGAAGATGACTCATGAATCAAGATTTAACAACCTTGATGGGAAGGAATTCACCCCAAGACAAAGATCTAGTAAGATACAAGCCTTAAATTTATCTTCTACCTTTCTATAAAAACATTACAGTTCCACATTTAAGAGTGTATTCTTCACTTCAGCCAGGCTTTTGAGTATTGCCAGGAATAAGCGTGACCAGAAAGAGAAACATGAATCTACTTGGAGATGGATCATAGTAAGGTCAGATGTGATACCAAAAACAACAAAGAAAATCTCATGAAAAATATTTTTTATGCATGATTATTAATGTGTAAAGGCAGCTCTTATTATAGGAGATTTGACTACAAATCATTACTTGTTTTTTTTTTCATTAGAAAATCAATTCACCAACAACTTCAGTGAAATAAATGTAAAACTGACTCATACAAATTGGAGCCTCAAGAGGCCTCCAAGTCCTTCTTCATGTTAATCAGAAGTTATCTATATACTATACTCATTCTTTAAAATTTTTCTATCTTCTGGGTCTTTTCTTCTATGTTAATTGTTGGAAATCTTTAAATAGTTAATTTTATTGGCTGTTTGTAAGTTTTCTGTAGAGGGCTCAAAGTCATGCATAAGGACTCTGTGGCCATTAGGATTATGTACTCAGCAAAGAGGAAAAAGAAGGAGTGATGGAAATAAGAGAACAATAATTAAAAAAGCATGGGCTACTGTGCTGGCACTATACACAGCCAGAGTGTAACCCAGTATGACATGAATCTGTTATTCCTCTGCTGGGCTTAATGAAGCAAGCCTTTCCCAGCATGAGCATCTCTGAGTGTGGGTTTAACAATAAAAGCTACATATTTTTTAGATATAACATGGCTACCAAGACTAAGTCAACTATTTCACCTACTGCTTATTAACCAAAGAAAGAGTGATTTGATCTACACTGGGGATGACCTATGTTAGCTTGTAGTTTTGGCTCCATCATGAGCCCTTCTCAAGACATTATTAAGGGTAACTTTGACTACACTTAATTTCTACCTCCTCAGTTAACTTTAGATTCAATTCTACCTTTAAGAAACTAATAACTTGTATTCTTGGTTACCTCAAAGTCATCTTCTACTAATTCCTTCTTTTTCATAAGTTGCTTTTTCTTCTTTTTGCTCAGATTCTGGTGCTCCACAATCTTGTTATAATTGAAGTGTTTCTTGCTGTCCTCCTCCTCATCCATCATGAGCAAAGCCATTTCAGCCTGTGGAGAGAAGAAAAAGTTCAAATGTAAAAAAGTGGGTTTCTTTTATCACTGTTATTTTAAGACTGTTATTTATATACTATGAATATAGAATAGAAAACCTCATCAAGATGCTGGCTTACTCACAGACAATGATATGAACCATCAGCCTCAGGGTGGGGAGAGACATGATAGCTTGCTCTTTTTAAGCAATAACACTAAATCTACCAAAAGACACTAAATCTATTTTGTGATGCAAACTGTAGTTTCCAGATGTGCACTTTAACAACAAGGAGAATTTCTTTTGCTTCTGTTGCCTTTACTTTTTCAACACTGACACTGTTTTTGAGGGTAGAATCTTAACATTTGCTTCTGAAATCTAGTATGTCTGTTTTCACCAAACAGACACACACACACACATACATTTATCAAACATATTATTAAGTTTTTTAAAAAATGAAAAGAATCAAACAAGTCAGGCATGGAGGCACACACCTGTAATCCTTGAGGCAGGAGGATTGCCAATTGAGACTAGCTTCAGCTGAGGATGTGGCTCATTGATAAAGAACCTGTGGGTTCAATACTCAGTGCCTCCACCCACCAAAAATCAAGTAAACAACTTCATGTACTAGAGAAAATAGAGTATGCTCCCTGACCTTTGCAAATATTCCTATATTTCCACTTTGGATTGCTTCGACTTCCTTTATTTCTGGAACTGGCATTTACCAGTGAATTCTTTTCAGAGCCATTTTCCACAAAGATTTTCATTTCTTTTTAGTTTTTAAAATTTTTACTTATTTATTTATTTTACTTGTTGATGGACCTTAATCTTATTTATGAGGTACTGAGAATTGAACCCAGTGCCTCACACATGCTAGGCATGTAGCTACCTACCACTGAGCTACAACCTAGCCCGCTTTGTTTCTCTTTAAATAATCTTATGAGTATTACTTATATGTAATAAACAGAAAAGAAAAATGTATTTAGATGCAGCATTTTGGCAACCTGTGACTCATTTGTAGACAATGATGTGAACACCAGTCACAGGGGCATGTTGGTTCCAATTCCTTCCTCAGCAAAGAATACATAAACTATGGACCTTCGGAGTCACTGAAGCATAAGATCCACTGCAGTTTTGATGAAAACTTATATAAACAGAAATTAGCATTCCACAAGCCATAATAGCAAAGTCTGTGTTACAGGGTGGATTCAGATTAAATTAAAGCTAACAGTAATATTTTTAGGTTTCAATAGTAAAATTTTCCTAGTTATAGTAAAAATTTTTTAATAATGAGAAGATTTTCTTTTAATCATAAAGGGATATATTCTGGGCTTTAGGCATTCTACTAGTTGAAATTCATTTGGCAAAGATTTTATTTATTTATTTATTTGGTATCTGGGATTAAACCCAGGGGTGCTTAACCACTGAGCCACATCCTCAGCCCTTTTCAATTTTTATTTCATTTTTAATTTTCTTCCTTTTAGTTGTCAATGGACCTTTATTTATTTATATGCAGTGCTGAGAATTGAATAAGAATTGAACCCAGTGCCTCCTACATTCTAGGCAAGCACTCTACCACTGAGGCACAATCCCAGCCCCTTAATTTTTATTTTGAGATAGGTCTTGCTAAAGCGCTGCAGCTGGCTTTGAACTTGTGATCCTCCTGACTCAGCCTCCCAAGCTGCTGGGATACTGCTAAAATATAATTACATAAAATTTATGTATAAATTTCATCACTAAAATCATTTATTTTTAAAATTAGAAACAATCAAAATTCACATGAACAACTTCAATTAAATTGCACATTTCAAATATCTACTAAGCATGTAATAATGACCACATTTTACCTTTTGTCTTTCTATTTCAGTTTCTTCCTCCAGAGATGTACCATCTTTTGCAGATTTCACTGATTTTTTCTTTATACCTGGCACGAAAACCAATGTAAGACAATTAAAAATTATAGAACAACAATAATCTGTTTATGCTATGAATAAAAATGCAAAATATCTAGGAGTAATTTTAAAAATCAATGTGTCACCTTCTCAAAAGAAGAAATACACATAATCAACAAATATATGAAAAAATGTTCAACATCTCTAGCAATCAGGGAAATGCAAATTCAAACTACCTGAGATTTCACCTCATTCCAGTCAGAATGACAATTATCAAGAACACAAATAAATGTTGGCAATGAGGGGGGAAAAATGTACACTTATCCATTGTTGGTGGGACTCAAATTAGTACAACCATTCTTAAAAGCAGTATAGTGATTCCTCAAACAAACAACAATAAAACCCCACATGAATCAGTTATCCCACTCCTTGGGGTTAACATCTAAAATCAGGATACTATAGGGATGCAGTCACATCAATGATTAGAGTAGTTCAATTAACAAAAGCCAAGCTATGGAACCAAACCAGGTGCCTGTCAACAGATGAAGAGATAGAGATATGTGATATATACACACATGGAGTTTTACTTAGCCATAAAGAAGAATGAAATTATGGCACTTTCTGTTAAGTGGACGAAACTGGAGAACATTATGCTGAGTGAAATAAGCTAGACCTAGAAAGTCAAAGGTCCAGTGGTTTCTCTTACATATGGAAGCTAGACCAAAATAGGAAGAATAAAGAAGGGGCAGGAAGGAATCCTACAAAAACAGTAGGAAGATCAGTGGAGTTTAAGGGGGATGATGGGGAGAGTAGAAGGATAGGAAAAGAGAAGAATGGTGGAATGAAACTGACCAAAATATCCTATGTATATATATGAATACAGCACAGTGAATTTCACCTATATGTATATCTATAATGTACTAATTTTTTTTGTTTTCTTTCTTTTAGTTTAAACAAGATTAAAATTTTTTTTTAAAAATTTGTTCTAATTAGTTGTACATGACAGTAGAATGCATTTTGATACACTGTATACAAATGGAGCACAACTTTTCCTTTCTCTGGCTGAACATGGTGTAGAGTCACACCAGTAGTATGATCATACATGTATACAGGGTAACAATGTCTGTGTCATTCCATTGTCCTTCCCAGTTCCATTGCCTCTCCCTTCCCCTGACTCCTCTTTGCACAATCCAAAATTCCTTCATCCCCTTATCCATTGTGGATAAGCATCCATTTATCAGAAAAAAAAAAAACATATAATGTACTAATTTTAAAAAACTATAAATAAAATAGAAGATCAGTAAAACAGTGAAATGGGAATGGGGGAGGGAGAAGGAGAGGGAAAGTACTGGGAATTGAATTGGAGCAAATCAAATTCCATGTTTATATAATCATATCAAAATGAACCCCAGTATTATGTATAACTATAATGCACTAATACAAAATTTTAAAATGTGTGAAAACTAAAGAAGAAAACAATGAAAGAAGGATATCAATATGGATAGAATAAATACAATGTTCCTGGATGAGGTGACAACATGATAAAGAAGAAATTTCCTCTTCAAGTAATGTATAACTTAAATTATCAGCAAAAAAGAAAAATCAAATAATTTCAACAGATGCAGAATAAGCATTTGATAAAATTCAATATTCATTAATGATAAAAGCAATTTCAGGAGATTCTAAATAAAATAAGATAGACTTAAATATTAAGACAAATTGTGATAAAATATACTGAAAATTGAAATAGGGTTGGGGGTATAGCTTAGTGAAAGAGTTCTGCCTAGCAAGACAAGGCCCTGGGTTCAATCCTCCTCCTCCATAATCAATAAATAAACAAACAAAAAAGAAGTAAAATAACCAAAACATTCCTATTCTATGTAAGGAAGACAACAGAACAATATTCTTTGTTCTTTTCAATGAAAAAAGAAGAGATTATTCAACAACAGGTGCTGGGCAATTTGTTTAATTTTGGAAAAAATTAATTAGGTTATAGTCTTACCTCATGATATACAGGAAAATAAAATGCAGGTGTATTTAGAAGTTAGACACTAAACACACACACACCTACACAACAAACCCTATAGAACAGGGAACAGCTACAGAAGAAATATTTTCTTCGCATAAAAACACTGAGGAAATCAAGAAGTGTGGGGAAGGACAAGGGGAAACCAAGCAATTTGAATATATAAACTCTTTAATACCACACATAGAAAGTCACTTGCAAAATGAAAAGAACTTAACTTTATGATAACAATTTGATGGGCCTCTATCTGTTAAGTTAAAACTCTTTTGCTTTCTCTAGAGACAAATATGATCTTCAGCTAATTTTCTGGCTGTATTACTGGGCAAAGCTATGTGTGGTAAAAGTGGCTCCTGATTTAGATATCTCAATGCTCTTGGCTTTCATGGATACAGTGACTCTTTTTTTTTAAAAAAATTATTAGTTATTGATGGGCCTTTATTCATTTATTTGTTTATATGTGGTGCTGAGAATTGAACCCAGTGCCTCACACATGCTAGGCAAGCGATCTACCACTGAGCCACAAACCCAGCCCATAGTAACTCTTATAACTGATATAAAGTCTGATATGCAAAGATCTAGAAGTCATGTGTAGGAGCTGTTGAAAAGAAATCAGTTCCTATTTGGGACATTATAGAGATGACTATTGAATATTCTGTCTCCTTTCCCTATGTCTGAGCTATTCTACTGAATTGACTGCTATGAAGACTTGCACTAGAGAGAAATATGAATGCTGCCCTGATGTGCCTTCTGGCCTGAATCCCTGTGGGTGCCAAGTGTGACACATTTGAGTCCTTTGAGTTTGCCTAGCAGAGCCTAAGATCCCTGTTGGGTACTGTGCCACTTCATCAAGTGGTCTTTGGAACATCTGACATTCATTGCTCACTGATGTGATATGAATTAAAGATAAAGCATTGCCTAGGATATACTCCTGCCAAAAATATTCAATATAAATCTAACCAAATAACTAGTCTAACTTCTAGCTTACTACAAATACAGAGGACAGAGGGACAAGAAACTATTAGAAAAACTAGAACGTGAGACCTTCCAAATGATCACTAGCCTGGGCTTTTGAAAAAGCAAATGTTATAAAGGAAAAAAGCACATGGGTCTTTAAAACTATAATCAACTAAAGAGATAAAAATAAAAGTATTGTGTGAACCCTGACTGAATATGAGTTTGAAAAAAAAGCTATAAGTCACCAGTGTAACTGAAAATTCAAACATTAGATGCTATTAGTGTTTAATATCTTTTAGTTATGTAGCTTTATGAAACACGATAAAAATATATAGGTAAAACAAAAGGCAAAATGTTAACAATTGTGAGCAAATGATCTTTACTGTTAACTTTCAAATTTTCTGTTTATACATTTTCATATTAAAAATAAATGGTTGCCCAGACCTTAAACTACACTACAGAGCAATAGAAACAAAGAGATCATGGTATTGGAACCAAAATATACCTGTAGACCAATGGTACAGAATAGAGGTCTCAGAGACTAACCCACATAATTACAGTTATCTCATATTAGACAAAAGCACCAAAAACATATATAGGAGAAAAGATAGCCTCTTCAACAAATGATGCTGGGAAAACTGGAAATCCATATGCAAAAAAATGAAATTAAACCTCTATCTCTCACCATGCACAAAACTCAACTCAAAGTGGATCAAGGACCTAGGAATTAAACCAGAGACCCTGCGCCTAATAGAAGAAAAAGTAGGCTCAAATCTGCATCATGTTATATTAGGCCCCAACTTCTTTAATAAGACTCCTACAGCACAAAAAATAAAATCAAGAATCAATAAATGGGACAAATTCAAACTAAAAAGCTTCTCAGCAAAAGAAACAATGAAGTGAACAGAAAGCCTACAGAATGGGAACATATTTTTACCGCAAGCACATCAAATAGAGCACTAATCTCCAGGACATACAAAAACCTCAAAAATCTTAACAGCAAAAAAACAAATAACCCAATCAATAAATGGGTCAAGAAACTGAACACTTTGCAGAAGAAGATATACAGTCAATCAACAAATATATGAAAAAATGTTCAACATCTCTAGCAATTAGAGAAATGCAAATCAAAGCTACTCTTAAGATTTCACTCAAGTCAGATGGCAACTATTAAGAATAAAAACAATAATAAGTGTTCGTGATGATGTGGGGAAAAAGGCACACTCATACATTGCTGGTTGGACTGCAAATTGGTGCAGCCAATATGGAGATTCCTTGGAAAACTGGGAATGGAACCACCATTTGACCCAGCTATTCCACTCCTCCATTTATACCCAAAGGACTTAAAAACAGCAATCTACAAGAATACAGCCACATCAATATTTCTAGCAGCATAATTCACAGTAGCAAAATTGCAGAACCAACCTAGATGCCCTACAGTATATGAATGGATAAAGAAACTATAGTATATATACACAATGGAATGTTACTCAGCATTAAAAGGGAAAAAAAATCATGGCATTTGCAGGTAAATGGGTGGAGTTGGAGAATATTATGCTAAGTGAAGTAAGTCAATTAAAAAAAATGCTGAATGTTCTAATATGAGGATGCTAATCCATAATGGGGATGGGGGGCGGGAAGCATGGGAGGAATGGAAAAACTTTAGATAGGGCAAAGGGGATGAAGGGAAGGGGGCATGGGGATAGAAAAGATGGTGGAATGAGATGGACATCATGACCCTAAGATTTCACTCCAGATGGCAGCTATTAAGTATACATATGAAGACACCAATGGTGTGACTCTACTTTGAGTACATCCAGAGATATGAAAAATTGTGCTTTATATGTGTGAATATGAAATACATAACAAATTAGAATAAAAAAATAAATGGTTGCTAATACTATGACACCACTTTTTTTTCCAACATAAAGATATCATGTTAAGAATATTAATCCTTAAAGGCTGAAAAAAGAAAAAATGACTTTATGGCATTTGCTGATAAGTGAGATGGAACTGGAGATTATGATACTAAGTAAAATGAGCCAGAATTAG